ACAGATTAGAGCGACACACACACCACACAGATTTAGAGCGACACACACACACACACAGACACACAGATTAGAGCGACACACACACACACACACACAGACACACAGATTAGAGCGACACACACACACACACACACAGATTAGAGGACACACAGACACACAGATTAGAGCGACACACACACACACAGACACAGATTAGAGCACACACACACACACACAGACACACAGATTAGAGCGACACACACACACACAGACACACAGATTAGAGCGACACACACACACACAGATTAGAGCGACACACACACACACACACAGATTAGAGCGACACACACACACACACACAGACACACAGATTAGAGCGACACACACACACACACACACAGATTAGAGCGACACACACACACACACACACACACACAGATTAGAGCGACACACACACACACACACACACACACACACACACATTAGACGACACACACACACACACACACACAGATTAGAGCGACACACACACACACACACAGATTAGAGCGAGACACACACACACACACACACACACACACACATCAGAGGAGTTGTGTGTTCACTCACTGCTGGTGTCCGAGGCAGAAGGCCTGGATGTTGTACGGCGACCTGGAGCAGCTCACACGGATCTTCTCGTCTCTGTCACACGTCACGATGAAGCGGTCGTCCACAGAGACACTCTGCACACACACACACACACACACACACACAAACACACACAAACACACACACACACACACAACACACACACACATACACACACACACACACACAGACACACACAAACACACACTGTCATCAGACTGGAGACTCTTGGGCATTCAGAGTTTCAAGCACCACCTCTGACGGTCACTTGGGATTCATAGAACCAACCTCCTCAACCTGTGTGAGGTTCTGTGGGGTTTTCTGAAGTTCTGAGGTGCTCTGTGGGGTTCTGTGAGGTTCTGTGGGTTCTGTGAGGTTCTGTGGTGTTCTGTGAGGTTCTGTGAGGTTCTGTGTGGTTCTGTGTGGTTCTGTGTGGTTCTCTGAGGTTCTGTGATGTTCTCCTCACCAGGTCCAGCACCATGGACAGGTGTCCCAGCTGTAGCTCCGGCTCTTGGTCCGGCTCCTTCACAGATGCGCTGTACACGTCTCCAGATTTATCAGCCACCAGCAGGAAGTCCTCCGCCCGAGTGAAGGCCAGAGCTGTGGAGCGGCGAGCCAGCCACCTGACACAGCAGAGGGTCACGTGAGACACTGAGGAGGACAATCTCAGTCTTGGTGTTTCTCAGCTTCAAACCGTTAATCGTGACCCGTGTATCCAAATACTTATCGAACCCTGGAAAACTGTTTCGTTGCAGCTTTAGTTGTGACGTGGTGTGTCAGGTGACGTACCGGACGCTGAGCACGGTCCAGGTCGGGTCCCTCCGCAGCAGCACCAGGCGTTTGCTGTCGTCGCTCAGAGCCAGCAGATCCCCGGAGCCGGACGCCGCCACGGCCAGGATCCGATCGCTGCCGCCCTCGTGCTCGCCGCCGCTTTCACTGAACACACACAAACACACACAAACACACACACACGCGGAGGACGTCAGACCAGAGGCGACGGCTAAAACTCACACCGGAGCGTGAAAGGACAGGTGCGTGCCGGACTCACCTGTCGCCTTCTGTTTTCTTGGGCCTCTTCTCTGCGGCGCCGCAGTCGAACTCAAACGGAGCTCTGAGGAAACAAAAACAAACCACAGCGGGATTCATGTTTCAGAAGAACAAATATAAAAGTTTAATACACAATTCTACATCAGTTTAATAAACATAAATAAAACTCAGCCCAGTTTAGGAGGCATTTTCAAATCAAATATAACATTTACAGATAATTATAATAATGCTGATTTATTATTAATTACAAAAACTGTTGGTTAATGTTAAAATTCTCCAATCAGAAGCAGAATGAGCCTTATATTTATAATGAAAATATGCAAAACACAAATAACATGGCAAATAGAATGCCGACAAAAAAAGCGTAAACCGTGTTACTGTTACGTTCCACAAAGATGTTCAAAGATAAACATCAATTTAGCTTTTTTATTTAAGCTTTTCGAAATAGTGGATAGGTAGGATTCTAATTAAAACAGGAAAAAACAAAGAGGTACAAGGACATGTACTTTTGAGAATATAAATTTGCCAAATATAACAATAATAATCATTAATTTCATTGCCATTTTTTTAAGAGTCTAAATTCTTTTCATGTAAACCAAAAATGATGTGTTCAAATTTTCATGACATTCCAAAAATGTCTATAATTTATATATTTACAAAAAAGTTCACTTATCGTTTTCAGATATTCTTTACAAAAAGTGCAATAGTTTGAATATATTTTAGCATAAATGGATTAGTAGAGTAAATTCTGTGCAAAAGTTTAAAGGAAACATTGCTCATCTTATTATTTATCATAATTATTTGAGTCACAGTCCGTTTTTTTTTTTCCACAGTGTCAGAGAGAAAAAGTCTACAGTAAAAACAGCAGAGACACACAGATGACATCCTGTTGAAACAGAACACAGATTTTTTGATTGTTTGTCAAGTAGAGTGACCAGATTTACCAAATTAAAAACTGCTACACACCTGGGTTGGGATGGTTTGTGTAAATAAAACTGTGAAAAAATCGTGTAACTTTGTGCATCCTCGACTCATGTGTGGATCAGTTTATAACCGGTTATAATGTGAGACTAAATACAGACGTCTGCTGGATTTTGGCTAAACAAATGCAATTTATGCTCCTCTGGTTTAGACCTGATATAGTTCTGTTTTAGTCCTGTTTTAGACCTGATCTTGACCTGAAATAGAACTGATTTATTCCTGGTTTAGTCCTGATATAGACCTAGTTTAGACTTGTTTTAGACCTGGCATTTAGACCTGGTTTAGACCTGGTTTAAACCTCTTTTAGACCTGGTTTAGACCAGATATAATAGTTTAGACCTGGTTTATACCTGATTTAGACCTGATTTAGACCTGGTTCAGACCTGGTTTAGACCAGATATAATAGTTTAGACCTGGTGTAGACCTGATATAGTTCTATTTTAGTCCTGGTTTAGACCTGGTTTAGACCCGATCTTGTCTTGGTTTAGCTCAGATTGGTCCAAAATAGAGACATTGAGACATTTCTTGTATAAAACTGGGACAAATCACTGGTTTTAGATAAATCCACTGGAACTGTCCAGGGTAAACGGGGACGTCTGGTCACATCTGGTCACGTCTGGTCACGTCTGGTCACGTCTGGTCACGTCTGGTCACTCTGTTCTTACGGACACGAGTCAATCAAACTTTTCCTGCGGCGGTGATGAATGAAGAAACCGACCCAGAGCTGCTCCTTTTTCCCCGTAACCCTCGGTCCCCCCCGGTCCCTCCAGGTCCCCCTCGGTCCCCCGGGTCCTGTCCAGTGTGTGACCGGGTCCGGCTCACCTGTCCTGGGCGCTGTGGACCGCCAGGAGCCGCTGGTCACAGCTGCAGATGAACCAGTCTCCGCAGAACTGCACCGCCGCCATCTTTGTTGTTTACTACACGTGGGAAACTCCTCTTCTTCTTCTACGAGATTTTTATTGGCAAAGAACCAAACGTGCATTACCGCCACCAACCGGTCAGGAGTGTGAACTGAAATGCGACTTAACTAATAACAAATAAATAAATTAAATGAAAATGAAAATAAATAAATAACAAATAAATACATACAACAACAACAACAACAACAACAATAATAATAATAATAATAATAATAATAATAATAATAATACATACATACATAAAAAACAAAAAAACTAATTAATACATAAAATAATAATACTAATACCAAATACCAAAAAAATTAATAAATAATAAATACATAAATACACAAAATAATAATACTACTAATACCAAAAATAAAATAAATACATACACATTCCATACAAAAATTCAAATTCCATACAAAGTACTTTTGTTTTCGTGGCTTTGGGATTTGTGCAATAATGTGGACAATTTATATAAGAAGACAAGAGAGACTAAAATACAACCGATTTGGGTTTGTGACTAGAAAATTTACATATTTTTTGCAGGAATATCTTTCTCAAGGACACCAAAAAGAACATGTTTAACATTAAATTGTAGGTTTGTATCAAGCTTTCCATTCTCAAAAAAAAAAAAAAAAAAGTGAGTATATGAGCCATGGATCTATAATTTAAACTTTTATTTTGTTAAGGTTCTATGGTATGAACGTTCCCAAACACACGGTGGGTTGAGCCTTGAGGAGGTGCTGCCCTCTAGTGTCTAAAAGATGTACGTTCTCCATAAAGAATAATATAATTCTTCTATAATAAAAGTTTTTATTTTAAATCCTTGCTGTTAACTAAATAGTGAGATATTTGCTTTTATCTGTTAATTTTCTGAATAAAAATTCAGTAGTTAATAATAAACGATTTGAATCTGAACTTTCTCTGTTATAACGTCTTTTCCTCGTGTCAAACATCACAACAAACCCGGAGTTGAGTTTTGTTTAACACACAACATGAGTTCCACCTTGTGATGTCACGTGGTAATAACAGAGGACTTGCTCCACTGTGTTTCTAAATTCCACACACCTGCACTAGAATCATTTGGATCGTTTCAGTCCTGGAGTCGCCGATCTTGACTGAATTGACGGTAAAAGGAGCAGTTCACTTGAAAACTACCACTTATAATAATAATAATAATAATAATAATAATAATAATAATAATAATAATAATATAATAATAATGAAAATAAATAAATACACAAATGAATAGATAAATTAATAAAATATAAAATTAAATTCAATAAAATACCAATAAAAGGTTACTCAAACATGTGTAAATGAAACAAACACAACTCAGGTCTGTTTTTTGAAGAGGGAACATGGTTTAAAGAGTCAGTTTTGAACAGTATTGGACATTTTTATTTTATGATTTATTAAATGAAGTCTGCGTTTCAAAATGTGTGTGATCCATTTTATTGTTTTATTATTATTTTTACTTATTTATTTATTTCACTGTTACCGTTTTTATTTTTATTTATTATTATTATTATTATTATTATTATTATTATTATTTATTATTTATTTATTATTTATTTATTTATTTATTTATTTATTTTTTATGTTTTACTTTTTTTATTTATTATTTTTTTTCTTCTTCTTCTTTTTTATTTTATTTTATTTTTTTATTATAATAATAATAATCATCTTGGAAACAGCCTTGGTTATAAAATGTGCTGGATTGGGACAAAACAAATCAAAACATCCATCTTCCATGTTCGGTGTTTTCCGTGCGTGACGTAGAGCAGTGTTCGGACATCCTCGGCTGTTGTGGTACACACCCCCTTCAGAAAGTACAGAAAGTACAAAATGTACACAGCAGCTTCTGTGCGCTTTACAAGTTAAATAAAAGAGGTTTTCCCCGGACCCGCGCGTAAATGAGCCGGTACACAGCGCGTGAGAGTCCGCGCGCGGTCACAGAACGATATTAAACGTTTCCAATGTCTATTACATGACGACACATGTGCGCGTCTTTGTCATGCAGGGGGCGTGTACGCGTGTTACATAAAAGGGACTAAAGTGTGCGCAGACATGTCCATGGCGCCGTGATCCTCCGCACATCCACGGAACCGAGCCAAAAGAAGCGAGGACAGGACACAACCCGCGGTGCACAGGACAGCTCCGGTAAGTCCACCGCAGCCGCACGTGTCTGCGGCTCCTGCGGCTCCGCGCGGCTCCACATCCCGACAGGAGCAACCTGATGCCCCGTCCCGTCCCGGGCTCTCCCCGCTGAAACACACTCCGGAGAGAGCCCTGTCCGGGTGTTTGTGTGTGTGATTCAGTGTGTTTCAGTGTGTTTCAGTGTGTGTGAGTGTGTTGGGTTTGTGTGTTGGGTTTGTGTGTGATTTGTGTTGCTGCAGATGTTGATTGTGTGTCACTTTTCTCCCAGATTATGGCTGCCCTGCTGAGGATCGGATGTCTGGGCTGCATCAAGGTAAAAGTGACCCCGTGAACCTCATCTTTTCATGATTATTTTGCATGTTGGGCTCAGTTGTTGGAGTTCAGACTCTGAGCTCAGAGTGTTTGAGGGCTGGAGTCCTGCCCCTCCTGCAGCTCGGTGGTATGTGTCAACACTTCTATAGGCTCCGGCCTATAGGCCCCGTGAAGAGCATGTCCTTGAGCCTGAGGCCTGTGACTCTCAAACTATTAGAAAGAAAAAGAAAACTCTTTAACAAAAGTTAAACTCCACACAGCTGCACGTGCGCTCTGAGCTCAGAGCTGGACAGGTGAGAAAAACCTGCCTCTAATGTCTGACTTTTCCACATGAGCAGAAGTGACACAAGAACAGGGAGTTTGTTCAGAGTCTCAACATGGAGCCCAGAACAGTGTGTGTCTAAAACCTTTATACTCAGGGAGGAGAGCAGAGAATGTGTGATTAGAGTCTGTTTAAATCAACTGGACTAAAGACTAAAGACTAAAGACTAAAGACTAAAGACAGTCTGAGGAGCTGCTTTCCTGCTCTGTAAATATTATGTAAATACTCAGTAGTTGTTCAGTAGTTACAGAGGAGTGCACTAGAGTCTTTTTTTACCCCCTGTCATGTGTGCACGTGTGTGTGTGTGTGTGTGTGTGCATGTGCGTGTGTGTGTGTGTGTGTGTGTGCATGTGTGTGCATGTGTGTGCATGTGTGTGCATGTGTGTGTGCATGTGTGTGTGTGTGTGTGCATGTGTGTGTGTGCATGTGTGTGTGTGTGCATGTGTGTGTGCATGTGTGTGTGTGTGTGTGCATGTGTGTGTGTGTGTGCATGTGTGTGCATGTGTGTGTGTGTGCACGTGTGTGTGCGTGAGGGGTGAATGTGACACTCCTGGTTGTGTGTGGTGGAACATGTGAATGAGTTGTGTCCTGTGCTTCTGTTCTGTTCTCAGTCTGTTCGGGCTCAGGGTCCGTTGACCCTTCGGGCTCCTGCAGCCGTCGCCTTCAGCTCCAAGTCTGGAGGCTCCAAGAAAATCAAGAAAACCAGTGAGTCCTGAGTTTGTTTGTTCTGTTAGAATCACAGATTTATAAATAATCCTCATCAGAACATGACGACCTGAAACGTCACGTGACGATGTTTCTGTTTCTGTTCAGACAAAGATCCGTCTAAAACGTACTTCGACATCGAGAAGCTCGTCCAACATAAATCTTATGAAGCTCCTAAAGCGTCTCACGTGGCGGCGTCAGCGGCGGCGACCGAGGCCGTCAAACCCATCCTCCAGTCTGTGGCCGCCGCCGCACCTGCCGCCGAGGCAGCACCTGTCATAGAAGCAGCGCCTGTCGCAGAAGCAGCGCCTGTCGCAGAAAGCAGCGCCTGTCGCAGAAGCAGCGCCTGTCGCAGAAACAGCACCGCCGCAGAAGCTGCACCCGCCGCAGAAGAAGCTGCACCCGCCGCAGAAGCTGCACCGCCGCAGAAGCTGCACCCGCCGCAGAAGCTGCACCCGCCGCAGAAGCTGCACCCGCCGCAGAAGCTGCACCCGCCGCAGAAGCAGCTCCTGCTGCTGAGACGGCACCTGTCGTAGAAGCAGTACCTGAACCTGTCACAGAAGCTGCACCTGCTGCTGAGGCAGCCCCTGTCATAGAAGCCACACCTGCCGCCGAGGCAGCACCTGCACCTGTCGCCGAGGCGGCGGCTGCACCTGTGGCAGACGCGGCGGCTGCACCTGTGGCAGAGGCGGCGGCTGCACCTGTGGCAGAGGCGGCGGCTGCACCTGTGGCAGAGGCGGTCGTAGAGGAGGTGGTGGTTGAACCTCCTCAGGTCCCTGAGCCGGCGGTGGAACCGGCCCCGGTGCTGGAGGCGTCGGAGGTGGTGGTGGAGGCGGCGGAGGCCGTGGTGGAGAGCGTCTCTGAGGTGGTGGTGGAGGCGGCTCCCGTGGTGGAGGCCGTGGCCGAGCTGGTGGTGGAGGCCGCCCCGGTTTTAGAGGTCGCCGCTGCCGCCGCGGTCCCCGGGGTCCAGGCCGTAGCTCAGGCCGTCTCGAAGGCCGCGCCTGTGCTGGACGATGTGGTCGAGACTGTGGCCGAATCATTAGTTGAAACTAAAGCTGAGGCAGCTCCTGAAGCAGCTGAAGCAGCAGCAGAGGCAGCTGCAGAGGCCGCCCCGGCAGAACCTGAAGCTGCTCCAGCGGAGGCCGCCCCAGCAGAAGCTGTAGCTGCCCCAGTGGAAGCAGAGGCCGCCCCGGTGGAGGCCGCCGCAGAAGAGGCTGCCCCGGCAGAGGCAGAAGCCGCCCCAGCAGAAGCTGAGCCCGCCCCGGTGGAGGCCGCCGCAGAAGAGGCTGCTCCAGCAGAAGCTGAGGCCGCCCCGGCAGAAGCAGAGGTGGTGGTGGACGTGGCTCCTGCTGTAGATGCCGCTGAAGAGCTGGTGGACTCTGCACCAGTCGTGTCTGAAGAACCTGCAGAGGAGATTCCAGTGGAACCGTTTGAGGGTGAGTCTTTAGACCCACAGCAGCTCAAGTGTCACTTTGGGCTGAAGCTTCAGTAAACTCTGGTATCGGCTCCACAGAGACTTTTCACGGCTCAGAGCCGAGATGAAAAGACACAAAAGGGACCAGAGTCTCTTCTGTCCTACAAAGAAAAACACAGTCACTCTGTGTTTTGTTAAATTTGAGTTAAGGCCAAAACACCAGTTTTATCTGGTGATGGTTTTAAATAGTGAAATTTGCAATAATGACAGTTTTTTCACTGATTCAAAGGAACAGTGTCTAATGTCCTAATGTTCTAACTGATCCGTTCACACAGATGCTGCACTTTTCTCTTCTCTTCTGTTGTTTCTTGGAGAGTTTAAGATTCTCTCAGATCTTGCTGTAGGTTTTTAGGTCTAATTCAGAAATGGGACAAAATACAGACTTGAAACTTTTACTCTTTCTTATTCAACACACAAACTAAAATACTACTACAAATAATAATAATAATGTTTTTGGCAGGAAAAGATCTCCCCAAATCTGTTTTCTCAGCGCGCCTCTTTCTGTACTTTAACTGTTCACTCAAAGGTCAAAGGTGACTGATAAATATTAACTCTTCTTAAGGTAAAACATAAACCTCCAGCAGCTGAACGCTCGTTTTCTCACTTTAACCCTGAGTGCAGATTCTGGGTTTGTCCTGTGGGGGGCAGCGTGGACAGAGAACAGGAGGGGACCCAGCACCAGACCTTGGGGTACGACGGCGGTTTACTCTGAAATACACGAGGTCCGGTCTTCTCTGAGGCCTCTGTTCTGCTCGTACAGGTTTTTGTTTTCCACTCTGGGTCCTGCAGTAACACGTCGCCCGTCTAACGCTGCATTTGACCCGAGTGAATCAAAATGAGTGAAGTAAACTGATCTTCTCATCAATTTTGTCAATCAGTTTTGTTAAGTAAAAGTACAGATACAAAGGTAAAAAGTTTATCAAGTAAAAGTATCACAACTTCACCGTCAAATGCTTTTTTTTTTCTCCATGTGGATGTTGTTGTTTTGTCTGAAATGTTCCACATACGGCTTTAAACCTTTCTGTCTTCATGAAGACTAAAAATCCGTGTATCATTCGTTCATTCGTTTTTTCAATATAAAACCAAAAATAAGAAAATGGAAAAACAACAGTTTTCTTCATTATTTGTCTCTAAAACCAAAATGAAAAAACAGATAATGATTCGTTTTTTCAGTTTTTTGATTTTGTGTTTAAATAAAAAATGGAAAAAACAGATAACGGACGTTTCCCGTTTACGTGACTTCAGTGACTGCGATGCCGAACTGAACCAGGACTGATCCAGGTCCGGGACTAGATCAGGACCAGAGCGGGAATGAGACCAGACCAGGACTGAGACCGAAACTAGGACCAGATCGGGACTAGATCAGGACCAGATCGGGACTAGATCAGGACCAGACCGGGACTAGATCGGGACTGAGACTGAGACCAAGACCAGACCGGGACTGAGACCGGGACCAGACAGGGACCAGACTGAGACCAGGACCAAACCGGGACCGAGACCGGGGACCAGACCGGGACTGAGATTGAGACCGAGACCAGACCGGACTGAGACTGAGACCAAGACCAGACCGGGACTGAGACCGGGACCAGACAGGGACCAGACCGAGACCAGGACCAGACCGGGACCAGACCGGGACTGAGATTGAGACCGAGACCAGACCGGGACTGAGACTGAGACCGGACCAGGACTGAGACCAAGACAAGACCGGGACTGAGACCGAGACCGGGACCGAGACTGGGACCGGACCGGGACTGAGACCAGACCGGGACTAGACCGGGACTAGACCGGACTAGACCGGACTAGACCGGGACTAGACCGGGACTAGACCGGGACCAGACCTGTTTCTCTACAGCAAATCAAGTAATCCAAAGTATTCAGATTACATTACTCACTGTAAGTAATTTAATGGATTACAATACAAACTACATTTTGGGGTGTGTAATCTGTAATCTGTAGGGGATTACATTTTAAAAGTAAACTTCCCAACACTGAGTACAGATTCCTAAAAATGAAGAAAAGTCTGTGTGTTTTCCAGTTGGCAGGTGCGGTGGCAGAGTGGTTAGTCCGGTTTGGGTTTATAAATGTCGACTGACGCTTCTCTTTTGTCTCCTCAGCTCCGATCGATCCAGTTCAGAAGCTCTTCCTGGACGCAATCCGAAGTTATTCCTCCCAAAGCCAGTAAGTCTGAGTCTGCAGGACCAGGGTTCTGACAGAAGCTCACAGCAGGGGGCGCTGACGATGCAGAAGCTTCAGTTTCTCAGTTGAATGTTCAGAGTTTGGACCTGAGGGAGTTCCAGCTGAATTAACCCGGCTGAAGAAATGTAAACGTTGCCTGTAATTTATGAAATCATTTGTTCTGATAAAACTCAAGATTAGGAATGATCCAGGTTTCTGTTCTGATACAATCACAATACTGTGTCTTTAAGTATCTGTCCATATCCGATTTTAACCGATACCAGCGCCAGATGGCATGAGGTTCTCTCAAAATACACTAAACTTCTTGCAAAACTGATCTGGTCGTGTCATGGGCCGACGTCAGTCCAACTAGACCAGGAGAGTCAAACTCATTTTGTTCCAGGGTCGTGTCCAACCGACTTTGATCCTAAAGTGTCTGGATCAGAAAACTCATGTCATATAAACCCCAAAAATAACAATAACTTCAAATATTTGTGCAGAGAAACACAAATCTATTACAGAAATCTTTTTTAATTGATGAACTCTTTCTTTTACTAAATATTATAATATTATGAACAACCTGAAACTTTAAGAAAAATACAATTTCAACACAATGTTTTAACATGAACTTGTCTGTAAACAGGAATAAGTCCATTTTTGTTGTAAAATCCTGCACTCGGCTCCACTTTTCTCATGTTGGACATTTTTCTGATGAGGGCGTCACGGTCAACAGTCAAAACGATCGTCCTTTAAGAGCGTTTGGAAAGAGACAAGTCTTCATTTGTGCTGCTCTGGTGGGAGGGGCCACGTACAGAGACACTGGAGACGCTGCTGTGATAAACACCACAGAAAATTAACAAGATTTTAATAGAAAATATCATTAAAATATTTTAGTAGAAAATCAGCCCAGCTCCAGATTAAAGGTCTTGGGGGCCGGATCCGGCCCCCGGGCCGTATGTTTGACACCCCTGAACTAGGATATCAACGAACCAATATCCGATACTGCACATTTTCTTGGATCGGCAGTGATATCCGATATTAGTATCAGTATCAGTGCGTCCCAACTCAAGCTGTTCAGACGTTCATTTCTGAAAAAGCTGAAATCTCAGTCGATGTAAATATGTTCATGTCCAATCAGAACCTCCCCCCCCAGACACTGAGCCCAGTTAAACAAAGACGATTTAACGAGTTTTCAGTGTAAACCTCAAATTCTGAATTATTTCCGTGTAAATTCAAAGGAGAATATTTGAATTCAGAACTGATTTAGAATTTAAAAACCCTCGTGTAAACGTGTCCAGTGTCATAAATGTAAATAGTTGTGTTTCTTCTCAGGGCCGGCGGGGGTCTGGTGGAGGCGGGGGCCGACTATGACAAAGCCTTGGCCGAGGAGATCGCGAAACTCCAGAGGCTCTACGGAGGAGGAGACCTCACCGCCTTCCCCACGTTCAAGTTCTCAGGTCAGTCCACAATGGGGCGCTTTTCAAAAAAATACCTTTACCAGACCAAGGACTGAGGCCGGGGACTGAGGCCGAGGACTGAGACCGAGGACTGAGGCCGGGGACTGAGACCGGGGACTGAGACCGGGGACTGAGGCCGGGGACTGAGGCCGGGACTGAGGGGGACTGAGGCGGGGACTGGGGACTGAGGCCGGGGACTGACTGAGGCCGGGACTGATGAGCCGGGGACTGAGGCCGGGACTGAACTGAGGCCGGGGACTGAGTGAGGCCTTAGGCCGGGGACCTGTTTTAGTCCCAGTTTAGTCCTGTTTTAGACCTGTTTTAGTTCCGGTCTAGTCCCGGTTCAGTCCCGGTTCAGTCCTGTTTCATGTGTTGTGGTCTGTGATGTTCTGTCGGTGATCCTGAACGGCGTTAAATGGTTCCGCATCATTTTGAGTAAAAAAAAACAAAAACATTACTGATTTTTACTGGACTGACGGTTTTATTTTTGTATGAAAGTGTTTTTGTTTTTTTTTTGTTAATAAACTCTATACGACCCACTTAAAAAATCCCCTCTACACCGCTGACAAACACTGACAAAAACTTTTAAAACAGTCACAAAACTAAAACACAAAATGGATTCAATTAAAGACTCCAGCTCTTTCTGTTTAATTTGAAAATAAAAAAACCCGAGCGTCAGACCGAGCAGTGCCTATGTACTATTTTTATTTTATGTTGTTTTTTTTCTTGTTTGTGTTGCAGAACCGAAGTTTGACTGAGGACTTCGGTGTGGTCGGGAGCGTCTCGCCGTCGGGAGCGTCTCGCTGTCGGGAGCGTCTCGCCGTCGGGAGCGTCTCGTCGTCAGCTCGTGCTCCTGCCTCATGTACAGTGCTGTGTGTCTGTGTGGAGACCAGAAGGGGGCGCTGCTGCTTTCTTTCACTGTAGGACTAATCTTGAATAAAAGTGTCTGAGAGAAGAATCTGTGTGGTTCATCTGTAAAGTGACATAAACACGGAGACAAACAAAACACACTTTAAATCAGCGTTTACCAAAACATTTCTTGGGACGCGTATTTTAAAAGACACAAACGTTCACAACCCAAATACCACCAGGTCTAAACTAGAGCCCGACCGATATATCGGTTGGCCGATATTATCGGCGGATATGTGCAACTTTAGGCATATCAACTATCGGCCGATATGCTTGCTGATAGGGGCCGATATTTCACGTGGGCATATTATACCTCGTTATAAAGCTTAGACTCTCTACATTCTGTTCATTTAATCCAATTTACAGACAGATAAATGTCCTAATATGTGGCTCCACATCAGTATTTATCTACGGAGTCATTTGTGTGTGTGTGTCCTACTGTCCCTGAACACACCACAGAGTCGCGTCACTCACGTGTGTTTGTTTACACCTGCAGACACAGATCCAAACACTGAGATTATTTTCTTTTTACGGACCATCGGTTTGAGTCTGGATTAAAAGGACATTTATTAGTGCAGATGTGAGGAGGAGCCTGTGTGAGCGGTGTGTTGGAAATATGTCGACTCTGAAGCTAGTTTTTGTCATTTGTTATGGGTTAGCTGCTGTAGCTCCCGCACATAAACAGGCTGTTTTCTATTGGTCTGTTCTAAAGTGACTGTATTGGCCGTATATTTGCTACTGGACCTGCACTGATGTAAATGAGCTGTGAACAGACGTGTGAATTATGACATTTGCGCATATAATTAATTACCGCGGTGCGCACGTATTTACGGCTAAAGGCTAATAGCGCTACTTTCTTCACTAGTTATGGGTCCGTCGCGAACGAAATGATTCTTGGAATCGGCTCTTTGAAGGGAACGACGGGAGCCTGATCCTTATTGGGAGCCGTGTTTTCTCTTTCTCTCACTTTTTTTCTCTTCACGCCGCGTGATTCGTGGTTTGACAGCGGCAGCGGCTAAAAACGAAACTTTGAGAAATTTGCGTGTACGTAGGATTAAAAAAAAAAAAACTAAACATGAGCGTATTTGACTGTAGTTTAGCATAAAATAAATAAGTCCCGGTTTAGTCCTTTTTCAGTCCTGGTTCAGTCCTGGTTCAGTCCTGCTTTAGTCCTGTTTGCAACAAAACAATCTGAAGAGCCACTTGGGAGCCAAAAGAACCAGCAGCTTTTAGTGAGCCGAGCCAAAAGAGCCGGTTCTCTAAAAAGAACTGGAATCCCCATCACTAGTGTCTAAATGTGATGCAAAATGCCATTAAGTCAAACCTACTGTCTGTTTCAAATATTTGATTAAACGGACAAGAGGCAGAGACAGAATAATCAATCAAAGCTCACGTCTCTAGTCCTGGTCTAGTCCTCTAGTCCCGGTCTAGTCAGGTCTAGTCTCGGAGTCTCGGTCTAGTCCTTGTCCTAGTCTGGTCTAGTCTCAGTCCTTGTTTAGTCCTAGTCCTGGTCTAAGTCCTCAGTCCTCTAGTCGAGTCCTGATAACCTAAGTTGATTTTTAAACAATTCACGCGCTGTGACGCGAAAAACGCTGAAGACGCGCGCGCTGACGCCGTTTACGCCGTAAACGTGACGATAGACTTTTACGACGCAACGGGCTCAATAAAGTGCAATTGCAAACATATATCAGGTGTTCATATCGTCCTAGGGGGCCACACTGCAAAATCCATATCGGTCAGGCTCTAGTCTAAACCAGGACTAAACTAGATCTAAACCAGGACTAAAACCAGGTCTAAACCAGGTCTAAACCAGGACTAAACCAGAACTAAACTAGATTTAAACCAGGTCTAAACTAGATCTAAACCAAGTCTAAACCAGGTCTAAACCAGGACTAAAACCAAGACTAAACCAGGACTGAACCAGGATTAAACCAGGTCTAAACTAGATCTAAACCAAGTCTAAACCAGGACTAAATAAAACTAAACTAGGGACTAAACCAGGACTCTAAACCAGGTCTAAAACCAGGTCTAAACCAGGACTTAAACTAAACCAGGACTAAACAGGACTAAAATCAAGACTAAACCAGGACTGAACCAGGACTGAATAAGGACTAAACTAGGTCTAAATTAGGACTGAACCAAGTCTAAACCAGGTCTAAACCAGATCTAAAACTAGGTCTAAACTAGATCTAAACCAGGACTAAAACCAGGTCTAAACCAGGACTAAAATCAAGACTAAACCAGGACTGAACCAGGACTAAACCAGGACTGAATAAGGACTAAACTAGGTCTAAATTAGGACTGAACTGAGGACTAAACCAGGACTAAACCAGGTCTAAACCAGGACTAAACCTAGGACTAATCTAAACCAGGACTGGAAACTAGAAAACTCAGAAAAACTGATCTAAGGACTAAAACTCTAAACCAGGACTGTCAGCTGCTTTTCGCCCCGTGGATTGTGGAGTTCTGTGTCGGTCCTTTCGCCCGCGGTCACCTGACGGTCTACGTGGGCGTCTCCGGCGTTTCACCGCTGCTGATATCGCCGTGATTTTAGCGAATTTGCATGAAGAAAAACAAAAAACCCACCACTTCAATCCAGGTTAAAAAAGCTTTGTTACTGACATTTGTACACAGTAAAATATTGTTAAAATAATGTTTTTCCCTGTAACGTCACATTACTGCGTTACAGCAAAAAGCAACACATTACAGTAACTCGTTCCTTTTATAACACATTACTCCAAACTAGGGACGGGCATGGTGGAACAAGGTGAGAGGAGGAGCCAGGTGAGGGGATGGGTCAGGTGAGGGGAGGGGTTAGGTGAGACAAGGAGCCTGGTGAGAGGAGGAACAAGGTGAGGGGAGGAGCCAGGTGAGGGGAGGAGTCAGGTGAGGGGAGGAACAAGGTGAGAGGAGGAACAAGGTGAGAGGAGGAGCCAGGTGAGGGGAGGAGTCAGGTGAGAGGAGGAACAAGGTGAGGGGAGGAGCCAGGTGAGGGGAGGAGTCAGGTGAGAGGAGGAACAAGGTGAGGGGAGGGGCCAGGTGAGGGGAGGGGTCAGGTGTGGGGATGAGTCAGGTGAGGGGTCAGGTGAGGGGAGGAGCCAGGTGAGAGGAGGAGCCAGGTGAGGGGAGGAGCCAGGTGAGAGGAGGAGCCAGGTGAGAGGAGGAGCCAGGTGAGGGGAGGAGCCAGGTGAGGGGAGGAGCCAGGTGAGAGGAAGAGCCAGGTGAGAGGAGGAGCCAGGTGAGGGGAGGAGCCAGGGGAGGAGCCAGGTGAGGGGAGGAGCCAGGTGAGAGGAGGAGCCAGGTGAGAGGAGGAGCCAGGTGAGGGGAGGAGTCAGGTGAGGGAAGGAGCCAGTGAGAGGAGAGCCAGGAGGGAGGAGCCAGGTGAGGGAGGAGCCAGGTGAGGGAGGAGAGGGAGGAGTCAGGTGAGAGGAGGAGCCAGGTGAGGGGAGAAGTCAGGTTTCACATCTGACAAAATCAAATACTAAACTGACAGTAGCTTTAAAATGTTTAAAAAGTAGAAGTATCACAAATAATTAAGCTAAAAATATTTTTGATAAACAGCTGCTGGCATCTTCTAACCAGATTTGAGAGACCTCAGTGTATTTCTATAAAAGTAGCATGAGCATTATTAAGAGCAGGAGCAGTTGTCATCGCCGTAAAACAGATTTCTACTCAAACGGTGATCTTCTGTAAAAACGCCCCTGAGGAGGTTGAACAGCTCCAGGTTCTCTTCAGAAAATCTGGCGAGGGGCGTGCATCTCATCATGGTGTGGTCCAGAGTGTAGCAGTACTGAGCCTGCAGCAAGAGCCTGTCCAGCTCCAGCAAAGGCTTGTCACGACCCAGACAGGCCGCCAGGTGGAGCCGCGCCTTCAGCCTGGTGAAGAGCAGAGCCAGAGACAGCGCCAGGGTCACCACGGTGAAGGGCATCTTGAGTTCTGCACACAGGAAAAGGTTTAACATTACAGATTTTGAAAGAAGAGAAAACATGCAGATGTTGAAATGTTTCAATAAATATTTAGTTTGGCCCACGACTTAGTCCCAGTTTTTAATTTTGGCCTCTGTCAGTTTGAGTTTGACTCTCCTGCAATAGACACATCAAGAATGTCGGACTTCCGGTCATTGCACAATTCATACTGGGAAGGATTTTCCGAAAAAGTGAGTTTTCCCAGTGGCATGTGTCTACTGACAAATTCGAACTTTTCAAGTCTTTTAAACCATATCACTTTTGTTTCTGGTTCTGATTAGGGACGGGCATTCGATGAAATTTTCTTAATCGATCGTCGAGAGAATTAATGATCGATTATCGATTAATCATTAACGTTTTTATATTAAAATGATCATCATTATTATTACTATCTGCACTAATCTGTATAAATAAATTCAACTTTACCACATCAGCCCGTTTATTATAATGTGTTTAATTCAGTTTTGTTCAACTCTTACAGA